CTGTTAAAGACACTTTTTATTTGGCAGAGGAATGCCTCATGAAGGTTTTAAAAGGGAAAAAACCTGGTTAGCCTTACAGCAGTTGATATGACTCCTTACATCGGGTTTAACTATGTTAAGAAATCTAGTCAAAGGTATTACTGTAGAAAGGAGTGGGTGATCCTTTAGCCCACATTTCAATTGCATAAGCATGGCTCAGTTATTAGTAGTGTTAACACCTTACTTCCATATTAGAATTATCTTAATAAAGAGTAACAATGATATTTAAAATGCTATGGGAATTAGTTCAGAGATAAAGTTTATCTGGACATTCCGTCTTGCTTTTTGACATTTATTTCTTCACAATATGCTTGTATTATTTGGAGGGAATGTGAATCATAGGGATAAATGCAGTACCTGAAAGAACTATTCAAGAGAGTGATTCAGGAAAGTGAATATGAAATACATAGCACTGCTCAATACTTCCTTTTCTAGGCAAGTGTACTGCAGCGTTTTCAAATGTTCAGTTGGTTATAATTTGATAGATGCTTCATACCTCCTCTGATTTAGTCTTCCATATACTGGTTAGCAATGAAGGATCTTAATTGTGAAGAAACCATTTAATCTCTACAATAATGAGTGAACTTATCCTTCACAAAATAAGGTGAGAGATGACAGAATTATTAGGATCCCAACATTGAAAGTGTTAGAGAGACTTCTGTGTATCAGGCAGTTTATTTCATTCATCTTTATTTACAGCATTTGCATGCTACTCCACAGGTTTATAACATAGACCTATATATTTCAGAAGTATTTTATAACACAAACCAATTTTGAAGGTTTCCGGTGAGCAAACATAATACCACAAGGAAAACAAAATATGATAAAACTGATAGCATACCAAAACTAAACATGTTGTTGTTGTTCATTCGTTCAGTTGTTTTCGACTCTTCGTGACCTCATGGACCAACCCACGCCAGAGCTCCTTGTCGGCGGTCATCACTCCCAGCTCCTTCAAGGTCAATCCAGTCACTTCAAGGATGCCATCCATCCATCTTGCCCTTGGTCGGCCCCTGTTCCTTTTTCCTTCCATTTTCCCCAGCATAACTGTCTTCTCTAAGCTTTCCTTTCTTCTCATGATGTGGCCAAAGTACTTCATCTTTGCCTCTACTATCCTTCCCTCCAATGAGCAGTTGGGCTTTATTTCCTGAAGTATGGACTGGTTGGATCTTCTGGCGGTCCAAGGCACTCTCAGAACTTTCCTCCAACAATTAAACATACAGATTTTAAAATTGAGAAGTCTAGACACCACAAATTTCTTAGGTAAAGATTTACAACAAGCTCTTGACTAGCCATAGAAAATGATTCAGAAATTGTAACAAGTTTGCCTTTCTGGGAAAGACTGTTCCATAATTAGGATGCCGTTACTGAAAAGGCTTTCTCCCTGGTAGCCAGCCACTTCAGTTTGTTCTGCCAGGGCATGAGAAATAAGTCAGGTTATAAGCAATTTTTTGAACATCAAAATGAACAACTAGGCCTAAAATTGGGATTGTAAACTTCCGATTTTAAAATAGGCTGGATGTCAATAATGTAGATGGGTGAATCAGAACAGGTTCATAGCAGTTTGGGGGTCCTCCTGGACTCAGCACTGATGCTTGATGCTCAGGTATCAGCGGTGGCTGGGAGAACTTTGTACAGTTAAAACATGTGCACCAACTGTGCCTGTACCTCAAGAAGCCTGACTTGGCCATGGTGGTCCATGGCTTGGTTACATCTAGTCTGGATTACTGCAATGCATTCTACGTGGGGCTGCCTTTGAAGGCGGCCTGGAATTTGCAGCCAGATTGTTAACTGGAGCTAGTTATAGGGAACGGACAACGCTGCTGCTGAAGCAGCTCCACTGGCTGTCAATAAGTTTCTGGGCCCAATTCAAAGTGCAGGTTGTTACCTAAGATCTGCCGGGGAGGCCCTTCTCTCACTCCCACCTCTGTCACAATCATGGTTGGTGGGGATGAGAGAGAGGGCCTTCTCAGTGGTGCCCCCCCCCCCAGCTCTGGAACTCTCTCCCCAGGGAGATTAGATTAGCCCCCCACTCTGTCCATCTTCCGGAAAGACTTGGATATTCCAATGTGCCTTTGAATAATAGTTAGCTGTTGATCAAGTCCGCCTAGCTCTAATGTTTATTTTGGATCTCCACCACTTTATTCCCAGCCCGGCTCTACAGTTTCACGTTTGGACAAGCCCTTGCCCTGCTCAAGTCTCAAATCTACACATGCCCACTTTTTCAGTTATTGGTTGTTTGTTGCGTGGTCCATGTTTTATGATGTTTTTTATTTTATTGGTTTTACTGTTTTAATAAAATTGACTCTTATATGTTTTTAACTGTGTTACTCTGTAACCTTTGCTTATATTTGTCTTGGCCCCCATGTAAGCCACCCAAGTCCCTTTGGGGGGATGGAGGCGGGATATAAGAATAAAGTTGTTGTTGTTACTACTACTACTACTGTCAATAAGAGTAGCCACTGTAGAACAAGAGTACCCATTCAGTGTTAGGGAAGAAAAGCATTTGTAGATAAACATGTGCTTATCTACAAAACATGCTTATCTCTGCAATGTATGAAATGAATTCTGTGTGCTGGTGCTAAAGGACTCATGTCCCAAGACTGGAAGGATAAAACTGTTGTTCAGTGTAGTTGTAGCTTAATATGTATTTTATAGAAGCAAAAGTACTTTTGGGAAATAGTTAGCTAATATCAATTTATGCACATAGTCCATGTTCATATAATGTATGTATGCATATAGTCCATGTGCACTCTCTCTGCACAGCAACCCATCTGGGAGAGAGTGAGCAGAGGAAGGCATGTGCCGAGAAAAAGAGGAGAGGAAGGGGAGGAGAGAGAGCTCCAAGAGAGGGAGCAGAAGGTGCGCGTCATCTCTGCACAGCAACTAAGCTGGGAGAGAAAAGAGAGCAGAGGAAGATATGTGTTGAGAGATGAAGGAAAGGAGAGGAGAGGAGCAAGAGCTCTGAGAGAGGAGGAGAGGAAGTTGTGCACAGTTACTGTGTGGAGAGGGTGTGCACCTTTCTCTCCTCCTCTCTTGGAGCTCTCTCTTCTTCCTCTCCTCTCTCTCTTGGCACACATCTTCCTCTCCTTCTCCCAGCTGGGTTGCTCTGCCGAGAGGGAGAGGAGAGACCTGCACCTTTTACTCTTCAGTCCTTCCCACTTTCGCCCTTCCCACCTCAGTTTATTCCCTACTTTTCCAGCCCCCCCCCTTTCCACCCCAGTCTTCCCTTTTTCTAGTTTTCCTCTTCCTACCCAAGTCTTTACTATCCCCAGCCCCTATTTCCCACTTTTCCTGCTCCCTTTCCATCCCAGCCTTTCCCAGCTTCCAGCCTCTCTTTCCCATTTCAGTTTTGGTCCTTTTCCCACTGCACTTTCTTTCCCAGCCCCTCCTTCTCACCTTTCTCAGTCTTTCCCACTTTCCCGGCCCCCCTTCCCACCTCAATATTTCCCACTTCTCCACTTGCCACCTCCCCACTCCAATCTTTCCACCTTTCCAGCCTCCCTTTTGCACCCCTGTCTTGGTCATTTCGCAATCTTCCTTTCCCCATCCCAGTCTTTTCCAGCTGCCCCTCTTTCCCACTTCAATTTCCTCAGCTTTTCCCAATCCCCCCTTCACAATCTAGACTGGGGTATTTCCCACTTTTCCAGCCCTCCTTTCCATCTCAACCTTTTCCAGTTTCCAGCCCCTCTTTCACACTTCAGTCATTCCTCCTTCCCCAATTGCTCCCTTCCCACCCAATCTGTCATACTTTTCCAGCTACCCCCTTTCCACCTCATTTCCCCACTTTTCAATCACCCCTTCCCATTCCAACCTTTTCCTGTGCCCAGTCCTTCTTTCCCACCACTTTCCCAAGCCAGTCTTTCCCACTTTTCCTTATTCATATACACACAGTGTTTCTCTCAAACTGTATAGTTAAAATAAACTATGATGATTACTGGAAGGATACGTATGCACATTTATGTTGAAGAAGGTTAGAATAATGATTTAATCATAGTTGAACAGTCTTATATTAAATTAATATTTTATTCAAAAATATTTGATCTACTGATGCCTGAATTAATATAATTTTATTGGTATCTGTTTCTATTTTAAAATTTACCAGTAGCTACTGAATTTCCCACCTTCGCCCTATTCTCGAATCAGTAAGTTTTCCCAGTTTTTTGTGGTAAAATTAGGTTCCTTGGCTTATATTCGGGTCAGCTTATACTTGAGTATGTATGGTAAAAAGATACTGGTGGCTCAGTGCCATGAATTGCCGTGAATTTGCAAAAATGTGTCATGTGCTCAGTCCTTGCTCTCTCTATTATTACTGAAACAACAGCTTCTATAACAGGTACAGCCTCTGAGCAGTCATTTGGGGAATCTGAGTGCATTGCAATTGTTAGGAAGTTACCAGAGTATGAGCTGCTGTGGCCTTTTGGTCATAAACACCCATTGCTTTCCAGAAATGAGGAATGTTCCCAAACTGCTTTTGCCTTGTAATAAGTTGTAAGAGCCTTTCTTCAAGTGAAAAAACAATATCTACAATTATGATTGTGTTTAGGCCCATGTCTTCATATTTATATTTTCAAGACACATAGTAACACTTTAAAAGTTACCGATTACGTTTGAAAAGGAGAAGAAAATAATTATGTTCTACTGTTATTTATTACATTTAGAAATGTGATGCACTTGAATAAAAAATAGATTGCATAATGTTTTAGGTTGATTGAAGTATAAAGGGGTGTGAATGTTTTACCTTTTCATAATTTGGGTTTTATTGTCACTTCTGTGTGCACTGTTAATGTAGACTCTTAAGTTAATTGTGATTTGCTGAACCGTTGTAATGTTGTGTGTTGCTGAAACATTGCAGTGTTTTTAAATTATCTTTCAGTTAAATACTAAACTATGTAAGTTGTAACTCAATATGTTCTGTTTTTCAGTTACAGAATTTGACTTCATTTTGTTCTTTCCCATAGATGAATGACCTGTGACACTAGAACTTGGATTATTCATCTTCTCAGATAATTTAAGTTCTTCTGTAGGACAAATGCTGTGAGAACACAATGTGGTGAATCAACAGCACAGAAACCCTGGACCTTGTGAAACCAGAGCGAGGAGTTACAATGTTTACTTTGTGAACTAAAACTGTGTAGTAGTGGGCAGAACATCTGAAAATGCGGCCATGGACTGGCTCCTGGCGTTGGATTATGCTCATTCTGTTCGCTTGGGGGACCTTGCTGTTTTACATAGGTGGACACTTAGTACGAGACAATGAACATCCAGATCATTCTAGTCGTGAACTGTCAAAAATATTAGCAAAACTTGAACGGTTAAAACAGCAAAATGAAGACTTAAGACGAATGGCAGAGTCACTCAGGTAGGCTTTTAAAAACTGTTATTGTTGTCATCATCATTGTGTGCCTTCAAGTGATTTACATTTTTTTATATAATTCCAAGGGGTTTTCTCGGCGAGGTTATTACTCTTGTAAAGTTTCATTTCCTCTGTTCGAACATACAGGACAAAACTGAATTAATAATGAAATGATCCATTGGTGAATAGTATGATCTGCATACATGTGGCTTGTATCCATTATGGAACAAACTTCCTTTTTTCACAGGCATGTATTTCATGTTGGAGATATAATGATATTATCATTGTCTGATATGTTAGTAGTTGCCTTCTTTATGAAACTTCCATTTTGAAGACTTTGAAACTGCTGATAAACATTTTAATATCAAACTCAATCTATATTCATAGATCTGTAATTGTTAGGTAAATCAGTATATGAGCTTTATTTTATTATCAGCAGAATTTGAAAATGCAGTGTCTGCTTCCTGAATGGAAGGAGAGCATGAAGAATGAAAATCATCTAATTTTCTTTTTGGATACTTAAGTAGCTGGATTACATAATCTTCTTGTTGCATGTCTTCAATCATTTATTCCTCTCTAAAAAGTTAAATGGGATTTTAAGTGAAGACAGAAGCATAGCCAATCCTAATACCAAGGGATAAAGTAGAAATGCAAATGAGAGAGAAAAGAACAAGGTGAATTTAGTCATGGGCCAGAATGCTATTGGGGTTTTATGGTAGTGTAATTGAGAACCGAACTCTTCAGTATGTCTTTAAACATAAGGTTTGCTCTGCACTTCATTTTTCACATCTAACCTTGGGATAGCTCTAGCCTGGCCCAGTCCAGACTCTAATTACGCACAATCATGGAAATGTATACTCTACCACCTTTATATAAGATCCCAAAAGCTTTATACGGACCTCTCATGCTGATATGTGAAACTAGGGGAGTAACTATGGATAACTTTTCACTTTTCATTCCTAACTATCCCAACATATTAATAAATGGAATGGGAGTGATTAGATTTACATAGTACCAGTTAGTAAAATCCTAATCAGGTTTTAGAGAGCTTGAAGTGACCAATTCAGATTGGATTCCCAGAAAGAGGAAATTCTAAATGAAGCTATTTGTAAATGTACAAATATTAAGGATTCTGTAAATATGCATGACAGTAGTGGAGTGCAAAGGAACACTGATTATACGAGCCTCCTATGTTTGCAGATGGGGCTGATGCACTGAATTCTTTCAAAAGGGAAAGCTTAGCACAACTGCTATCCCTTCACTTTGTTAAATTTTGTTCACTAACAGCCTTACAACCCTCTGGTCAAACACTGGAACCTCGATATAGTTTTGGAGGACAGGATTTAGTTTCAACAGCAGAATCCTAGTCATGAAGTGGGATGTTCATACTCCTTTTTATTGTGGCCTGGAGATTGCACAATTGGTGGTAAGAGACTCGACAGTCTGGTGATATCTCTGATGTTGGGGGAAATGCTCATTCAGCTGAGCTTTTTCCATGTGTTATAGAATCAAGTCAGCAGGATCAGTTTGATTATCAGGAAAGTTATTAGTTACTTCAAACCTGCATAGATGAAAATGTGGCTTTGTTAGTGATTCAGTGTATCAGATATGGTGAGCAAAAGCCAAAGTAAACAAATTTAAAATGTGGTATTAAAAACTGACATAAAATGTAGCTGTGTCCACAAAATCCTACTTCAGTGCATCATCATGACAAGGAGGTGTATAAAAGAGTGTAGGGGCAAGAATCACAGAAACACATGTAAAGTTTTTTTTACTCTTATTCAGGCATTTCTTACAAAGATGGAAGTTATTGTATATTTGGGATGTTGGAATTTTGATATATACCCCCTGTCCAAAATGAGTCTTTTGTCACATTGTGAGGTGCAGAATGTAGGGGGTGGTATATATAACTAATACTTAGCTGAATGGTCCTTGAAGCTTATCTATAATGAAGAACTGTGATAATGCAGTTTTTTCTAATGGAGAGGAGACTTTTAATCATATCCAACATATTGTTATTTAATATTAACAAAATATTTGTACTCTATCCTGTACAGTGAAACCTCTACTTGGGTTTCGATTTGACATAGCAGCAGCATTTTGAGTTAAGAGCTGGCGCCAGAGGGAGCGCTAGCACGAGAGTCCAGGGCTTTAAGGCTTCAAGGGAGCAGCCTCTGTGTTGTTCCACGTGACTGTGCATTTACATTTATTTGTTATTCACAAAATACATTTTCTTATTTAAAACGCGTAACAAAAAAATTTGGGAATGGATTAATAGCATTTCAATGCATTTAGATGGGAACATTTACTTTGAGATAAGAATGTATTAAGATCTTGGTCACTGAACAATTTAAACTCTCATGTCAAGGTATTGTTGTTGTTGCTGCTGTTATTATTATTACTACTACTGTTATTCCTCCACTTTCCTCTCTTCATAGAGACCCAAAATTCACAAGATTAAAAACAATGCAGTTTAAAACCTACAATATATAAATATTAAAACAGAATAAAATCTAAAATTGTTGAAACAAATCAGTTAAAATCACATAAAACCATAGAAACTGTAAAAATAATTAAAACACTTTACAAAACCACATGGCTTGTTCTTCAAAACTCACAAAATCTCAGGGCAGGATACGACTTATATTATATTTAAAAAACTAAAGTTGGTTCACATCTTCCTTTGGAAAGGATGGTATACAAATCAAATAAATGATTTTAAAAGTACCGTATATTCCGGCATATAAGACGACTGGGTGTATAAGACGACCCCCAACTTTTCCAGTTAAAATATAGAGTTAAGACGACTCCCATGCATAAGACTACAGCCGCGTATAAGACGACCCCTGACTTTTGAGAAGATTTTCTTGGGTTAAAAAGTAGTCTTATACGCCAAAATATACTGTAATTTCCTTTTAATAAGCCACACTGCTGCTTCTGCATTGGCAAAAAGTTCAACAAAACGTTATTTTGAATCCCTTCCAGCTCTATAGCAGGGCTGCATTATACAGTCATCTTCATAATTTTACCTCACTGCATTTTCTTCTAAGCATACACCAGGAAATTGGAAATCACAAGATAAACAGAAGAATTATCTTGTTGTTGTTCATTCGTTCAGTCGTCTCCGACTCTTCGTGACCTCATGGACCAGACCACGCCCGAGCTCCCTGTCGGCTGTCACCACCCCCAGCTCCTTCAAGGTCAGTCCAGTCAGTTCAAGGATGCCATCCATCCATCTTGCCCTTGGTCGGCCCCTCTTCCTTTTGCCTTCCACTTTCCCCAGCATAATTGTCTTCTCTAGGCTTTCTTGTCTCCTCATGATGTGGCCAAAGTACTTCAACTTTGTCTCTAGTATCTTCCCTCCAGTGAGCAGTCGGGCTTTATTTCCTGGAGGATGGACTGGTTGGATCTTCTCGCAGTCCAAGGCACTCTCAGAACTTTCCTCCAACACCACAGCTCAAAAGCATCGATCTTCCTTCGCTCAGCCTTCCCTAAGGTCCAGCTCTCACATCCGTAGATTACTACAGGGAATACCATGGCTTTGACTAGGCGGATCTTTGTTGCCAGTCTGATGTCTCTACTCTTTACTATTTTATCGAGACTGGACATTGCTCTCCTCCCAAGAAGTAAGCGTCTTCTGATTTCCTGGCTACAGTCTGCATCTGCAGTAATCTTTGCACCTAGAAATACAAAGTCTGTCACGGCCTCCACGGTTTCTCCCTCTATTTTCCAGTTGTCAATCATTCTTGTTGCCATAATCTTGGTTTTCTTGACGTTTAGCTGCAACCCGGCTTTTGCGCTTTCTTCTTTCACCTTGATTAGAAGGCTCCTCAGCTCCTCCTCGCTTTCGGCCATCAGAGTGGTGTCATCTGCATATCTGAGGTTGTTAATGTTTCTTCCAGCAATTTTCACCCAGCTTTGCATTCATCCAGCCCCGCACATCGCATGATGTGTTCTGCATACAAGTTAAAAAGGTTGGGTGAGAGGATGCAGCCTTGCCGTACGCCTTTCCCAATCTTGAACCAGTCTGTTGTTCCATGGTCAGTTCTGACTGTTGCTACTTGGTCCTTGTACAGATTCCTCAGGAGAGAGACGAGGTGGCTTGGGATGCCCATCCCACTAAGAACGTGCCACAATTTATTATGATCCACACAGTCAAAGGCTTTAGAATAGTCAATGAAGCAGAAGTAGATGTTTTTCTGAAACTCCCTGCCTTTCTCCATTATCCAGCGGATATTGGCAATCTGGTCTCTCGTTCCTCTGCCTTTTCTAAACCCAGCTTGAACATCTGGCAACTCTCGCTCCATGTATTCCTGGAGTCTTCCTTGCAGGATCTTGAGCATTACCTTACTGGCATGAGAAATAAGGGCCACTGTACGGAAGTTTGAGCAGTCTTTCGCATTCCCTTTTTTGGTATGGGGATATAAGTTGATTTTTTCCAGTCTGATGGCCATTCTTGTGTTTTCCATATTTGCTGGCAATGGCATGCATCACCTTGACAGCATCATCTTTTAAGATTTTAAACAGTTCAGCTGAGATCCCGTCGTCTCCTGCTGCCTTGTTGTTAGCAATGCTTCTTAAGGCCCATTCAACCTCACTCCTCAGGATGTCTGGTTCTAATTCATTCACCACACCGTCAAAACTATCCTCATATTATTATCCTTCCTATACGGATCTTCTGTATAGTCTCGCCACCTTCTCTTGATCTCTTCAGCTTCTGTTAGGTCCCTGCCATCTTTGTTTCTTATCATACCAATTTTTGCCTGAAATTTACCTCCAATGTTTAATTTTCTGGAAGAGGTCTCTTGTCCTTCCTGTTCCGTTATGTTCTTCCACTTCCATGCATGGCTTGTTTAAGAATAGTTCCTTCTCTCTTCTGGTCAACCTCTGGAATTGTGCATTCAGCTGGGCCTCTCTCCCCCGATCTCCGTTTCCTTTTGCTTCCCTCCTTTCTTGGGCTCCTTCCATCGTCTCAGCAGACAACCCTCTTGCCTTCTTGGTTTTCT